GCTTTTAGCAAGTACAAAATGAATCTGTAGTGTACCTACAAAAAACCAAAACAGAATATGGCTCTGTCTATCTGGCATTGACGGATCCCTCAGAGTTATGTGTCCTTTGCGGATATCAGGAGAATTTTGAAATATTACTAGAGAATCAGCTGCCGTAATTGATAGGAAGGACATGTTTCAAGTTAAAGGAACGTTTAAATTTAAAATAAATAATTAGAGGTATCATATATCTAATTATTAGGTCATTTTTTAAATAAAAACAATATGAATTTACCAATTTAATTCAAATAAAGTTTTTGTATATAAAAAAAACAATTGAGTCACACAATAATTTGTTAAGGAACGACTAGTAGTATCTGTTTCTCTTATTCCTGTCAAAATTGCCCCTTCGATCTTTGTAATTATTATGCCTCCTAGGGTCTGGAGAGTGATTTTGTCGCCTATGATCTGGCGAGTTATTGTGCCTGTCATGTTTTCTGAAAGAGTTGTTATATCGTCTATCCTCCCTGTCTCTATAGTTAGGTTCCATATGAGTATCTCTATGACTATTGTGGTCCATATGATCTCTATAATTGTCAATATCACCTCTCCACCTATCTTCATCATGCTGGTTAGAACCTCCTCCAAAATGTCTATCGTTTGGTTGTCTGTGATCATTGAATAGATGCGTCGGTCTGATCATGTCCAACTGAGGATGCGGCAGTTCTTGTGACCGCTGTGGTGTCCTGTTTTGATTGTTGTTTCTTGGCTTCACATTGATGCATTTATCAAAAAGTCTGGTACCGTTCAGGAGCTGAGTAGCGTAGTCAACAGAGCACTCGTGTTTGAAAGTGACAAAACCGAAATTCGACTTTCTCCCTTCCTTGTCCGAGGGAATCTTTACTCTTTGTAGAGGGGCCGCTTGAAGGAAAAGTTCGTATAGCAGCTCTTCGGTCACTTTGTCCGACAGATTGCCACACCAAACTGTTCTGGCGTCGTCCATTGTTATTTCCGAGTCAGAGTTTTTCTAAACTAACGACCGAATCAAGAAAACATTTCGATGTTTTCGAAGATAAACATCACACCTCATTGAAGTTGTTTTTGACAGGTGGAAGGAGTTTCTGACAGTTGTCATGACACTGACATACTGATACTAGAGATGGGATAATCTGAGAAAGAGATCGATACTACGATCACTTTTCATAATCGAAGAAGAGTACACTGGTCGACAAAATTAACGCCCTGTTACTAACGTTTGAGTCGTCATTCCAAGATGATTTATTTTGATGAATAAAAACCTCGCTGTATGGAATGGAACAACTTATACACACTAGGCTTAGTAGGTATTAACTGTTTACATATAGTTAGCGATGTTTGCTCCGTAATGAAATGTAAAGGCTCCATTGGTGGTATAAAAAGCTGCACCTTACGGAGTTTATTGAAGAATAAATTCTATAAGCAAAATGAACGCGACGAAAAAAGATGTTTCTATGTTCAATATGCTGTACAAAGTTGGAAAGCTGATTGGTCTGACTCCACTCTTTGTTAGTGATCGAGGTTTTCGCAAATATCTCACAAAAGCCTACTCGATCTTCTTGATAATTATTTTTACAGCTTTGACGGTGTACTCATTCTACTGTCGTCTTAGCCTATACAAGAATGTTTCTGTCCCACAGGTATTTTTGGACAGCGCTGAGTGTTTCTGTGAATATTGTTTTGTCATAGGTAGGTAGTACTGCTTGATAGACTTAATCCGTTTAATTTCCATTTCATACATGTTCCTAACTAACTTTTTTCTCAGAGGGTTTAACTCAAATATGCTGTGACGTCATAATATTTTTAGTGCACTACTGAACAAAAATGACGTATAAATGACATCATGATGACGGTCTAATGTAATATTAGACCCAATTGACGTCATCATATATAATGTCGTATAAAATTGAACTCCTTGATGAAAGTTACTGAATACCTGACAATGATATTTTCCAAAAATACCTTGCCCAAGAAAATACAGAGCCGCACGGGTATCACGTATCTTAAAAAGTGACATTATGCTGTTTTTTTGACATTATGGAGGTTTTTCTACAAGATGTTAACTTAGCACATAGTTGTACGTGTTGCCTAAACGTCATGAGGCTTGTTATCAATCTTTGGCTCTGATGTGATGTAAAATCTGCTTCTGAGATGGCATTACTGGAGGTCTAAGCTGTAAGTTGTATGTGTTGATGATAATTACATTGGGTTCTTGTCTCAAATACACTTAATTGATATTTAAAGCTAGAAATTAGTTGCGCATCCACTTTTTCTCATCCATTCTGGAAATTGCATACACAAATTTGCTGAATTTCAAAAATGAGAGAGATCAGAAATAATTATATTCACTGTACACTATCGAATTACAAGCCATAGGTATACATGTTCACAGAAATTACACACATCGCGGTCGCGGTGATGATTTCCCGTAATAATAGTTTTTTGTAATTTATAACTTTGAACATAACCTCTCTTCAGAAAGCACAACATATAAATAACCCGTAATATTCAGCATATTCAGTAATGATTTTCTCACACAGCAAATATCACTGATTTTATACACATGCAGACCAATATACATAATCATCCAGATGCGATTTTGCTATTCAACTAACTTTCTTCTCAGAGATAAAAACTACAGAGACGGGTCACTCAGCCTCACAAAACTATGCAACCAATAATGCGTGTAGTTTAGTTGAGTGATTCCTCGATAGATGGACGTTCACAACGAACCTAGTGAGCAAATGTGGAATGACTGTTTGCGCCCTAAAAACTACCTAGTCTGCAAGTTGACATCGTACCTATAGTTTTATAGGTTCTTTACATGATATCCGTGCCGTTCCGGGACTTTTGTGGCACGCTGTATAATATAGTAAGTCTTGTTTATTGTTATTCAGAGGCGTTTCTAATAAATTTGTTATAAACATGATGTAAAATGGCAATGTGAAATATAAAATAGCATTATTAGAGAAGTCATATTAACAATATATTTTTGGTCGAAGAATTCCTGAAACTTTGTTATAAATAACAATAAATTAGTTATTAGTATTTGGATATCCAGTTTACCTTACTGTTAATTAAAAGTCTATATTTTCTTTGTAGGTAAGTATTGATTTTTCAATACTATCTGTTCTGAAGGAGATGTCAAAATGACAACCTTTTGAAGGACGCCTTGTTGTAGTCATAAAAATGGGGTCAATAAAGACTTCATTTTTTAGTTTTCGACCTAAAGTGACCGAAAACGTCATTTTAGAGTAATCTTGTCCACTGGGTTGTTTCGTGGTTTTTTAGGAACTCATCAGCATGGTCTAGGCTTGGTCTCTGGGACTACGAACGAAATAGTCCGTCTTCTATCTAGAATATAAGGTCTATATGGAACTGCCTCATTTCAATAATGGTCTAACTTGTACAAAACTCCTAAGTGCTGATTACGGCGTTGCGTGGGAAATGCAGAGTCAACCTACTTGACGCCATTTTTCCTGCAAAAATTCTAAACTACCCTGTATATTTTCAGCTTGCTTTTATGAAAATGGCTTCAAAACAGTAAACTGGAAACATTTCCTACAAGAGCTTAATGAAATCGAAGAAAAACTCAGCCAAACAAAATTCACAGTAACCAAAAGCATCTTCCTCATGTGTCTCGAAATATTCTGCTACCACTTAGGAATAACCTTGCTACATGCTGTCGAAAACATTCTATGGGTGGAAGAGGACAACACCGACCTCACCTACATGTATATCTCCTTCAGAATCGTCATGTATTTGCAGTTCTTCGACTTACTGTCAATATGCTGTATCGCAAGGATCATGAAAAGACGCTACCAGTTCTTGAACAAGAGACTCATCGAAGTGTTCAAATATGTTCACAATGAGGATGATATTTTACGGGAAATTCGAGAGCTTTACTCAGTGCATAGAAAATTGTACTATTTATCAGAAAAGTTCAATGACGTATATGGCTGGCAGATATTCTTCATTTTGATCAGTACAGTACTATCGCTGTTGAACAGCGCAAACTTTGCTTTTCTAACTGAAAACAACGCTGAAAAGGCCGAGTTCAACCTGGGACCTTATGTAATATACATCACAGCTTATCCGGTGTTTTATGCTGTAAGTTTATATACTTTAATCTGATAAGGCATGCCGGTGTTAATTTTAGGGGCAAAGCAGATTGTTGTCTCCTAAACTTTCGCTAGGTTAAATAAAGCTTATCCGACACTACAGCACGGGTATCACGTATCTTGAAAAGTGACATTATGTCGATTTTTTTTGACATTATGCTGTTTTTTTTGACATTATGTAGGTTTTTCAACAAGATATAAAGCTGTAAGTTGTATGTGTTGATGATGATTACATTGGGTTCTTGTCTCAAATACACTTAATTGAGATTCACAGCTAGTTGCGCATTCACTTTTTCTTATCCATTCTGGAAATTACATATACAAATTTGCTGAATTTCAAAAATGAGAGAGATCAGGAATAATTATATTCACTGTACACTGTCGAAGTACAAGCCATATATACATGATTTCCCGTAATTCTTTCCAGTTTTTTTTTGTAATTTATAACTTTGAACATAACCTCTCTTCAGAAAGCACAACATATAAATAACCCGTCATATTCAACATATTCAGTAATGATACTCATAATCATCCAGATGCGATCTTGCTATTCCACCAACTTTCTTCCGAGAGATAAAAACTACAGACCCGGATCACTCAGCCTCACAAAACTATGCAACCAATAATGCGTATGATTCCTTCATCGATGGACGTTCACAACGATCCTAGTGAGCAAACGTGGAATGACTGTTTACGTCCTAAAAACTACCTAGTCTGCAAGTTGACATCTTATAGGTTTTTTTGACGTTTTGTAGATTTTTTACATGATACCCGTGCCGGCTATGATGAGGTTCTAGACATTGGCAGGGGAACGTTCCATACATATTATGGTTTAAATAAATGAATAAAAAAAATTCAAGACAAGCTTTATTTAGATGTTAATAAAGCGAATTAGACATTAAATCATTATTTATAATGAAGATGAAAGCATTTCAAGTTTTCGAATAAAGCCTGTTGTTACTGACACACCGCTACAAGAGAAATATTTATATATTTTAGCAATAGGTATTTGGATATTAGGAGAACAAACCACTTTAGCGTTATGCGATGCTTTTGTAAATTATGACAGTTGTTTTTATATCTACACGTCTTTTTTTTGTAATTTATGTACCACCCATTTCGTCTAACCTTTAATTTGTGTCACTCCGACTATGATGGTCCTTTTCCAGTGTTCAACAACAGCCTTGACTCTAGCCTGCGAGGCCGCAAAAAAGAACGCAATCACAACGTCGACGTTGCTGTTTAGAAAACTTCCATGGCTTCCATACATCATTGGTTGTTGCTCGACGAGAAAAGAGCTGATGGATATCGCCAGGTCTGCCAAGGAATTGATACCGACCTTCTCGGCGGGTGGATTTTATCAAGTCAATCAGCATTTGTTGTCTTCTTTGTTCTCAACGGTCACTACGTATTTGATCGTGATCATACAGTTGAGTCTTTCAACTTAAATATAAGTAAATATAAAATATAAAACTATACAACCACCAGTAATTCTTAAAACTCATATATTTCCACTATTTTCCTGAAAAAAGTACATTATAATTTTATTATCACAGCAGTACAATAAGCAAATATAAAGGTAAGTACATGTAGGTAAGATTCAGTCTTGTTCGAGATACCACTTAACAGCTGACTGATCGTTAGCAAAGCAGACATCTAGATTTCTTTACGTCTACAGCGTTGACAACGTTCAAGTTCTGCAGCGCAAACCGCAGAACCATGAAGAAGATGATGAAGAAGAAGCATACGTTCAGGCAGAAGACAGTCATACAGGATTTGACGTTCTTGTAGGTCGGGATCGACATAATGACGGTGTCTACTTTGAATGTCATGCCTGCAACAAGCAATATAATTAGAATCAAATTTAACTTATACTTGTTTTTTTGTCAAAGGCTTGTAATGATCATAATTATTCTACACGCATTTTAAATAAATAGAGTAGCGATTGATTGCTCAAAAAGTTGAAAATTTAGGTTATGTAGTATGTGTAACTGATGGCAACATATAGGCTAAAATATTTTGAGAAAGGTGGCTACTGGTTGTACCTAAATTAATCCCATGTACGTCATTCTATAACTAAAGACTGAACCTTTCAATAGTGACAGTCAGAATCGTAGATATAAGCATAAGAGTATGCCTTATAAACACATTTATACAAATTATCACAATCATTAGCATCAGTATTATCATAGCTGAAGTTCGTAACTTTTAACTCTTACGACTATTCTTATGAATGAAACGTCATTACTAAATGCATGTGTCAAAACTGTCAGTTAACCTACCACTTGACAACTAACTGAAGACATACCTAACCTACAATTTGACAATATATAATAGAACTCGAACTGTGACCTACTGCACTATACAGGGAGTTACAATACTCTTATTATTTTGCTTATTGTTCAACTGCACAATAAATCATTTAAAGCAACTTTGTGTACCAACAAAATTATATTTTCTGAATGCTCTATCATTTGTATAAACACGCTTCAAACTTATACTGTGACTATATATACTTATAGTTATTTTTATGCATATGGTTATGATTAAAAGGTTGAATAAGCCCGCCATAGGTACAAAACTTTTAAAAAACCTCAAATTTTGCATAAAAAATGTGAACAGAATTTAACAATTTTTTCTGGTAGTTTTGTCTTTGCTATACAATTTGTAACGAACTGTGACGAATACAAGTGCTGAATGTGTTCGAGAACTGATTCTGACTGATAAATTCCATTATAGCTTCTTGGCTAGATTTACCTTTTTTTAACCGTGTTAACATTTTTGGATACGTTCATATTAGAAAATATCAAATTTTGATAATACCAAGTGGAAACCGATGACTTGTCATTTTTGAGCATTTGTCAGCACTTTCCGCAAGGGTTTGGTGATTTTAAGATGCAAATTGAAGCCATAGAAACAGTGTAAGTACATATTTAGGAAAAATAAAGTACGACAATCTGCAAGTATTTTTTTATTACAATATACCGCTTTGTTAGTTTATCTTCAGCAAAACTAATTGATCACGGAAGGGTGATTGATCTGAAAATAAAGAAGTTCTAAATTCAGGTTTTACGGATATACAGGGTGATCTATCTAAACATTCTGACACTGATTCTCTTCACCCTTTTTGTTCTCATAAGTTGTTTTGGAAATTTAAAATTCCAGGGTCGGATCCATTTTTTATTTCCTGGCGTTTTATTAAGTGCAACGCCTAGTAAGTGATACTTTGGATTCATTATCTCGCAAAAAATATTAACAAAAGGGAAAATGAACATTATGTACCCTATTTACATTTTTTCGGTAACTTTTTTAATGATTTAATCTCACCAACTGATATTGTACAACATGCGCTCTGCTTAAAAGGAAGCAGCATTTCATATGCAATTGCTAAATTTGACCTTCCATATCAACTTGAAATTTAGTTAAAATCCACAAAAATGTATGCCAGTTCGGATTTGACATTTAATTCTGTGGTGAATTACGTAGCTAAATAGAGTAATATTGTGGTGAACGTAAATATGCTGAAAATGTGTCCGGACATGTATATTAGGTTTTTCTACATTTTCGTCATAACATAGAATTGGCCTGGAAAGTAAAATTAAGTGCATTTGCATACAAAATGCTGTTCCCCTTTAAAGCGAGACTGAAAACATGAGTTGGTAGAATGGAATCATTAAAGAAGTTACCGAAAAAAAGTAAAAAGGGCGCATAACATTAATTTTCCCTTTCACTTATATCATGTAATATTTATTTTTCTGCAAAATAATGATACATTCAGAGCATACCTTATAGGGCGTTGCAAAAATATAAGGAAATATAAGATTCGAATTTTGAGTTCCCAAAACATTTGTCGTTCAATTTAAGCATTATTTTGCGCTAAACTGCTCAAAACAAGATATTTGAATCAATAAAAAAATTAACTAAAAAACCAAAAGAGGTGCCAGATGATTAATTAGCATTGACTTTTTTGTCCATATTCAACAATTTCAATATTCAGATTAAAAGATGCATATGGCAAAATGTTTTACTGGCTTCATGACAGAAAACAAGGTGTTGACATTAATGGCACTTTATCAAAAGAAAACAGTGTTTATATACGAGTTCCACAAGGCTCGATTTTAGGGCCTTTACTATTTTTGATTTCTATCAATGACTTGCCAGAAGTTTTGATTTTAGTACTTAATCGACCACTTATGCTGATGACAACACGATTTTAGGTACCGACTCTTAGACTCACTCGTGTGTAGAATAGTTGCAAGCTATGTTGGATAAACTTTGTAATTTCTTCAAAGCAAATCGACTTATAATGAGGGTACCTATTGTGAGGTAGCTACATATATTTTTGGAATGTCCGATAGATAAACGAATTATTTTAGTGAGAAATTCTCCTACTTCAGATAGAAAAGGTCGAGTGATAGGAAAACATAAACGGCGATCATTCTCTGGATATTGTTCTGGATCTGCTGAAGGATGGTGATATTGCAGTCATGTAAGCCTTCTCTCCTCTAAATGGATTTGGAGATGCTCCGCATGATCTGCTTGTGGTGGACAAGTTTTCTACTGAGGTCAATTTTAATTTAGAGCAAGTGTGCAGATTCTGCGATGCTGCCTGGATTCTCATGATCGGAATCGAACTGGAATTATAATAACAATTTGCTCCATTCTTTTTCTTGTCACTGAAAATAAGAATCGCTCATGAGCTCCAATTTTCTGTTTCGAAATTTTAATAATAATAATAATCGTCTTTATTTAAACTGTACTTCATACAGAAACAAGAGTTGCATATGGTGGCGAAGTTTAGCAACATGCTACTCTTACACTAGACCACCACCTAGACATTGCTAGTTTTACATATCAATGATCTCCTTTCCAGTACCTATCAATCTGGTACAGAGCTCTTTAGATCACCGAGGACTTCATCTGGCACGAACTCATTTCATCACATTACCTCCACACTCTGCCGAGGCCCTGTTAAGACCAGGCCTCGAGTACTGCTCACATATTTGGGGTCCTTCCGCCCCGGTCCCTACATTATCCAGAGTGCTGTATCATGTCAACGGGCTCTCCTCCATGATATCCAGTTCTATTAATCTTAGGTAGTAGCAAAAAACGAAGCAGAAACAGATCAGTTCACCTATTTTAACTGTGTACGAACAAAGCAGGCTGTGTGCAATTTTAATTACAGGAAAATTACTTATTACAATTATCTCACCATTTAACTCCATTGTTGTAATTTTTCACAGACTTTACAATGTTAGAACAATGTCGCGTAATCACGTCGCGTGTACGGTTGCGATGTGAACTGCGGAGGCTGAAATGCAGACAGTGCCAAATAAACAGAATGTTTTGCATTTTCCACTATTTACCTGATGCTATCATTATTATCAGCTTGATGATTTTTTCGATGCAAATATTTAATTAATTTTCGATCGATATGCTATTTTTCAATAAATAGTGCATTGATCGACAAAAGCAGAAAAGCATAACACAGTTAATTATTTAAACCTAACTGGACAGTAAAATGTATAGGTTAATCTTTAATCGAAGAATCCAAGTCTGATATCTAAACATATACATACTTAAGTTTGAGACATTTAATAGTCGTGATTTTTGTGAGCGAAAAAATTAAATAGTCCTTCCAGAGCATATCACGGAATGGGGTGCTCGCCTGCACTGCAGATCTGCATTCAACATTTTTTAATACAAGGTTAATATTGCCGTCAGTATGGATGTCAGCGTCAAGCAAATAAACTGATCGTTTACTCCATGCTTGTTAACGAATAAGAGTTCTGTAATTTTTGTTCTTGAGAACGATGTCTGGTAGACGTCTCGGGGCGCTCCACTACACTTTCGTACACCTTCGCAAGTCTTTAACTTTACCTTTTTGTTCAAATTTCCGCACCAACTGACGAATGGTGTTGACACTGGGCACATTATTTCGACCAAAATCCTGTTGAAGCTTCCGAATCGTTGCAACAATCGACTCATTATTTATATATTATACAGGGTGTTTCAAGTCTATATAAACATGGGTCGAAAAATGCGTGCCTTCCGAAATACAGGGTGTTTAAATTTACTTTCTAAAATAGTTTTGTTTAGATATTTCGAACAATATTTGATGTATAACAGTGAAAATTGGTATACAACGGTTTTTTGGTACGACAAAACGAACCATGGGCATAGTTTTACTGTAGCCGCTAGAGGGCGCTCTCTACTGTACCTGTAGTGTATTAAAATGACCGAAAAATTTTTCTTAGTGCAATTTTTTGCTTTTTGAATAAAAAAATTATACTTCGCACTTTTCAACATAAAAAAGCTCTACTGTGAGTTTTCGTTATAGTTAGCCGTTTTTGAGATATTTAGATTTTTAAGGTTCGATGCATTTTTAATTATTTATGGGAAAATAATATTTTTTTTACATTTTCGATTTGGGCATTACAAGTAATTAAGATGATCGTTTAGATTGTGTTTTTAAACACAGCAATAATTCCTAACTCCAAATAAACACAAAAAACATTTTTGACAAATTAAATTAATTATTTACAACTAAAATGCTATTGGATAGTTAGGACAAACATACAAAATCTAAAGTAGTTGCTCGAAATGTAAACCCAATTGTTGAATACACAATTCACATCTACGAATGATCGAATGTGGTATAGCATTATTCAAATAAGGGCTTATTTCATCACATGCATTCCTGATTATGTCTATTAGCATATCTCTTGTGGTTACGGGAGTCTGGTACACTTTTTCTTTTAGCAATCCCCACACAAAGAAATCTAATGGATTTAGGTCAGGGGATCGTGGAGGCCAGGCGACTGGTCCTCCACGGCCGATCCATCCTTTTGGATAATTTTCGTCCAGCCAGTTTCTAACTATTCTCGAATAATGAGCTGGACAACCATCAAGCTGGAACCAGGCCAATCTTCTTAAATCTAACATAACATCATCCCACATATTTGCATGTTCAGCCTTTAAAAATTCCAAGAAGGTCGCAGCATTTAACCTTGCAGGCAAAAGGTAGGGTCCAAATAGTCGATTACGGTAGATACCAATCCACACGTTCACACTAAATTCATGCTGAAAATTTCTTTCCCGAACTGCATGCGGATTTTCATGCGACCAAATATGTTGATTATGAAAATTTACCACTCGACGTCTAGTGAAGCATGACTCATCGGTCCATAAAACGTTACTTAAAAACTCCCTATTATTATCAGTTCTATCAAGAATCCACTGACAAAATGTGATTCTTCGTTCTCCGTCCCCTGGGTGCAGTCCTTGCACAGGTTGCAAATGGTAAGGACGTCTATGGTCATTTCTAAGAACACGGTGAACATGGCTTGCTGAAATTCCCAAGGCACCAGAAACTCTCCTAACACTTGTGGTCGGATCTCTATCAAACTCACGCAGATCATACGGGTAAATCTGCGCTGACGAACATTTATGTTTTGATCCCTTTGGAGATTTTCAAAATACTGAGCGAGTTGGATGTCGTCTGGTTGGAAATCTTCGTGCGTATTCTCTGGCTGCTTCTGCTGCGTTTCCATTTACAAAGCCATACACAAAATGAATATCCGCTAACTCTTGATTGGAGAATAAAAATGGCATTTTTATAAAACTTACAAAAAAAAAACAGGTAAAAGAAACTAAATTTCATGCATTCACAATTGCAAAAAAACGTTTCAGGTTTCAACAGACATCAAAACTAACTGTCAACTAATTGACGTTTAACCTTATTCTGCTTTCATAAATATTTGCAGGCACAGCCTACTTCTAAAAATTATCGAGATACTGACTTTTTAACGTTATTTTATCATAAATAAATAAAAATGCATCGAACCTTAAAAATCGGAATATCTCAAAAACGGCTAACTATAACGAAAATTCACAAGAGAGCTTTTTTATGTTGAAAAGTGCGAAGAATCAGTTTTTTTATTCAAAAAGTAAAAAATTGCACTAAGAAAAATTTTTCGGTCATTTTAATACACTACAAGTACAGTAGAGAGCGCTCTCTAGCGGCTACAGTAAAACTATGCCCATGGTTCGTTTTGTCGTACCAAAAAACCTTTGTATACCAATTTTCACTATTATACATCAAATATTGTTCGAAATATTTAAAAAAAACTATTTTAGAAAGTAAATTTAAACACCCTGTATTTCGGAAGCCACGCATTTTTCGACCCATGTTTATATAGACTTTATGCATTAATTTTAAAAGTTCTATCGAATCTTAAAGTTAAGCAACAATAAACTGAAACACCCTGTATATAAATTATATTACTTGCGAAACAATAAACATTGCCATAATTTTAAAAAAAACCTTGTTCCTTGTTCAGATATACAACCCCAAATCCCGATTCTGCCCCAATTTGAAACAGACTGAATCTCTCAATACTAACTGGGACAGACAAGGGATCTACTAGCCCTGGGCTAATATTGTGCGATACACGAAAATGTTGTCCAGATTCCAAAAACACCCATTAAAACCCACGTTTTATGCACCAATTACTCACCAACAGCGTTTACAAGCACCAAAGCCTTGGAACTACACAACCACACAATTGCCGGTATCTCAAGTTACTTCCGCGTGGCAAGTTAATTGATATTAGCAATAATATGCAACTGCTTCGGCTTGGCCGTCTAGAAGAAAGTGAACTGAACTTAGTTTAGCCTTAACATTTATCCACTTTCTTTCGTATGCCGCTGGTCGCCACGCCGGTAAGAAATATTCGCGGTCATTGATATTATTAAACAGTTCGCAGTTTTGTATTTGCTTATAGTACGGTCACATTGAATGTGTCTTGACTCATCGCAGTTAAAATAATCAAATGTTCAACACTTCACGAGAAGCAAGTACATTTTAAAACAATACAAAACGCTTTGCTGCAGTAATTGGAAATAATGAATTTTTAATTGTGCTACCAAGACGTCTAAAGACGCGCACAATTTGATATACCCAGAAATATGAATATCAAAATTGATTGTTTTAATATAATTCGCCATTTTGTCTTATAAACTTTGGATATTGTCAGTATCACTCATATGTCAAAATCCGTCATTTAAGTTGAACCCCTTAAAATGGGAATATGAATTTGAGGTTTGAATCTTTTTACTGATATGCACCACTTTGTTTTCACAAAATTCTAATACAGCTACTGTTACTACCTCTATTAGGATGAATCCAACAACACCCGTTTTGCATGTAGATAGTGAAATAGACTTTTTTGGATACGTTTACCTGCTGTTTGAAAAGTTCCGGAACCCCACGATAATTTGCGAACTAATGGCCCCGCCATTCAATGATGACCCTTATTTGGCCTTGACTATGATCTTCAAAGTTCTTTGACGGTCAAGCTGATTTTTTAAATGTAACCCTTTTTTGACCTCGTAAATGAAAAGAACGGAAACTTTTAGAAATATGGATTTGGCCATGCTTAAATTTTGACTTTAGGATATCATGGTCACAGACACACCCAGGTACGGTAGTATAACTTGCAAACCAGTATTCAGAAACTACCGAGACATTCTTTCCATGATTTTTCTCGCTCTTTTCATTTACGGTGTCCAAAATGATGTGTTCTATTCAAACAATCTACTTGACCTTCACATTAAAGGTCATGGTCAAGGTTCGATGGATAACCGGAAAATAACGTCTCGGTAGTTTCAGCGTACGACAACTGGTTTTCAAATTATTTCATCGTACCTGCGCTTGACCTTGATCATGACCTAAGGTCAAAAGTTAAAACTTGTCATGATTATATCCAGGGTCGAAACTGGTGATTCTCATCGACTTGACCTTCACATAACCTTGAAGGTCAATTTTGACCTTACGATGTCATAGTCAAGGTCACACCCAGGTACGGTGCGAACTTGGAAACCAGTATAGGGAAACTACAGAGAAATTGTTTAAACCATTTTTCTCGCTTTTTTCATTTACCATAATTATGTGTTCTATTCAAAAAAGTCTACTTGACCTTCAAATGAAAGCTCACCTAAGGTCAAACATTAAAAATAGTCAATACTATATTGTATACGGGGTCAAAAATGGAGGATTCTATTCAAAAAAATCGACTTGACCTTCACGTGACCTTGAAGGTCATCGTGGTTACGGTAAAACCCCTGATCATTGTCGAATAGCAGGGAAAAAGTCATAAATAGTGTCTCGGTAGTTTCCCCATAGGGCTACTGGTTTTCGAGTTATATCACAGTACCTCAGTTTGAAAAAAAATCGGAATGAACTTCAAATGACCTTGAAAGTAATGTTCACGGTCAAATCCAAGGTCACTATTGGATAGCGGATACAGTGGGTTTCCGGAACTTTTCAGATACCCAGTATACATGTCCACGCGTGAAAAACATATCCCTCCTTCTGAGGCAGTCGGGTAAATCGACCAGATAGATGAGAAAGCGTCGTATTGGTAGGAAAGTCGGCTTAGGTTGATCTAAAAACTTATTTTTGAGGTTGGATAGGACTTAAAACTGCACGATTTAATTGCGTAGCTGTATGTTTTGCTTAGAACTGGAAATGAAAATTCTACTTCGTCACAGGGAAATCCGTTGTGCCGGTGGATGGAGGAAAACGAATGATTACGAGTCATCTAAATCAAATTTGTTTGATAAATAGTTAGATGCACTTGATAATTGGTTTCAGGAATATGAGTCAAATGAATCTAGTTTATGTATCGTTATACCGTTGTAAGCGTAATGCTCGTATATTAACTTGTTAATACCATTAATGTACACCGTTTTTTCAGTCCCAGTAGCTTCTTACTCGAGTATCAGGGTTGTGCTCTCAAAAGAAGATACTCTGTATGTTTACACTCTTACTTCCTACGTCACTGGCGTGAAACTATTGCTCTCGCGGAAAACTTAGAAAATGAAATATGTTTTTTGGATGCTGTTTGTCTGTCCGCCAGCACTAGACCCAGCAATAACTTAAAAACTACCTCTCGGATTTTGATGAAATTTCCGCACAAGGTTACTTCTATGCCAAGTATCAAAACGCTTAATAGTTTTTTAAAATCGATCCAGTGACGACGAAGCTAACCGCGCTCAAACTTTGCTTTTGATGTTTTAGAGATAGTGATCATTATTGAAAAATTCTTTAGGGGTGAAAAATTGTTGATGTTGATGTGCTTGTACGCCTTGAGCCGTGATCATTCTACACACCTTTTATACATAGTTCACTCATCACAGATTTCCCTGTACTTTAATAATAGAAACCTAGAAAGGCAGAAAAATATTTCCGACCCACGCGTGTCGATCATACGCTTCCCGGTCCTGCTGGTGCATGTGGACCGTCGATGTGTGAAAGCGAATTTGCCTCCAAAACTATTTGAAAAGAGAGAGGTAGCATACTTTCTCAGGGAGACAAATCCTACAGAGCCCCAAAATTGTACAGAAAAACATTCCAAATGAGAAAATTTCAATTGTATGAGCCGGTTTGTCCAAATTTAATTTTTTTTTGTACATGACCGTAGCTATTTTTTTCAGAGGGGCCAGCTTGTATCAGACATAATCCTTTATGAACTGATGACAGCGATGTGTAGGAAGTTCAGAGTGACTTGACGCCATTTTTTATATGAACGACAAGTACCAAAGCTTGCCCAAACAAAAAATTTTGTGTCAAAGCTGTGATGATATACATTCGAGGGTTTCTATTACTCGTCCTCAGAATGAGACACTACTTCTGACATAAGAGTAGCCTTCGGTCAGATATGAAGAAAGCAACTTGTTTTTCTGATGCTTACAGCCTATCTTGGAATGTACGGGTACGCCCTATTGGTATCAGGAATAAAAATCAGATTCTATTGGCTAAATTTTCGACAGGAAAGACAAAGGGTTTAACATATTAAAGACCTCAAGGTGCGTAAAGCACCTAGGGAGGATCAAATCACCAACAAGGCGTTGAAGCTGCTCTCGCCGAAAGCCCTGACATACTTGCTGACAATAATCAATGCGACGCTCAAAATCCAGTACTTCCCTGCTGGGTGGAAGACTGCTGAGGTCATCATGATTCCAAAGAAGGTGGGTTCGATATTTCCTCAGGATTACCGTCCCATAAGTCTGCTGTCAGCTCCTTCTAAGCTCGCCGAAAAGGTGATTTATCGTCACCTTGAGAATTTTTCGTCAAATCACCATGTGATTCCTGACGTCCAATTCGGTTTTCGGTCCGAGCATAGCAACGAGTTACAGGCAGTCAGGCTGGTGGAGCATGTAACCAGAGGGTTCACCCTTGACATGAGTACTGGCATCTTGCTTTTGGATGTCTCAAAAGCCTTTGACAAGGTGTGGCACGCGGGCCTCCTCTATAAACTAATCCAAAAGGGTTTTCCTTTTTGGCTTCTAAAATTACTGAAATCCTTTCTTTAAGGAAGGAAGTTTCGGATCAAAATTAACAATGTTTTGTCAACAACACGGCCAGTATGGGCCGGTGTTCCTCAGGGTTCGGTCCTAGGACCAATTCTTTATTCGCTTCATCCATGATGTCCCTTCCCCCAGCAACTGTGAAGTCTACCTCTATGCTGACGACATTGCACTTGTCGCCCAGTCGTGTACTGGTGATCTGGTTCACGATGGGTTGCAGAATGCGGTGGACGAAGTTCTAGAGAGGGCGGAACGGTGGCTGATAAAAATTAATCATTCGAAAACGCAGGCTATTTATTGTACCAAAAAACGTCGCGGCCCCCCAGCAGAGGTTTCTGTAGACGGAAATCGTGTACCATGGACAAATTCTGCCAAGTATCTCGGTGTCACCCTTGATAAAGGCATGACCTGGCAGAAACATACAGCATCCATAAAAACAAAATTCCAAATTGCGTTTCGGCAACTATATCCTTTGTTATGTTGATCCTCCAAATTGAGTTTGATAAACAAAGTTCGACTATATAAAATGATTATTAGACCAGTCATTACTTATGCATGTGCGGCTTGGTGTTTTCTTGCCAAGACACACATGCAAAGTCTTCAAGTACTGCAAAGCAGAACTTTGCGGACAATTTGCAACGCTACATGGTATGTCTCAAATGAGACACTACACAGAGACCTTGACATTCCTTACTTGAGGGATTATGTCAAGCTTCAGGCGCAGCGACGTTATAGTCTAGCGGAATCGCACAGCAACCCTCTGTTGCGTGACTCAGTGGACTACACAGTGGAGCAAGTTCGCAAACATTCAAGGCCACGGCTCGCACTGTAATCAAAAGTTAGCGTGAATCTTTAGTAAACTCAAAATTACACTCTAACAAAACCGAATCAAAAAATTTGTTTAGTTCACCTCAAAATTAATCCGTGTACCAAGTCAAAAAGCCTAGGTGTTTCCTCTTAAACTAAGCATATCTGTTTTTCTTTGCTCCTCTCCTTTTTTCTTCTCTTTCCCTTTCTCTTTTTCCTTGACTGTCTGGTTTCTGGGCAACCAGGACTGACAGATTCGACTAACGTACATCAGACAGTGACTAATGGACAAAGCTCCTACGGACCGCCCAGACAAATAAATGACGAATAGTAGACAAAGGGTTTAAATGAATTTCAAACACATTTTTTACAATACACAAGGATGTATTGCTATGTATTTCAGCTAACAGCAATGAGATTTTTTCTAGGGAGTGATTTTTAAATTTTTGGTAATAGGTATGATTTGAGATGTTAAAAATACCTATTTTGTCCCACTTGTACATCAAAAACAAAAAACGATTCCTTTTCTCAATGTTTTCCTTGTAAGTAAAAATACAAGC